GAGTACTCGATACGGAACGTAATCTTTTAATTATCTTATATTGTGATTGACGGCCAATTTTAATATATTTTAATACTATTTAAATAAATCACAATATGACGCACATACAATATCTTCTCCTAAAACGACTTAAAAGACTGTGAAGGTAACTGTCGCCTGGGATTGCTGTAAGTAGACTTTTACCGACGAGGCAGAAAACGCCTCTGAAACGTCGGTAAAACTTCTACAAGACTACGCGGTAGAATAATTCCAGAATACATTTTTCTCTATACTCGACGCCACGAAAACCTTAAATCTCGCCTAAAGAAATTGCTCAGACGTAATTAAGCGGTTTAAGATTTGAGGTTTTCACAGCGGTGAGTATGAAGCGGTGTTTAACAATCACTTGTTTCAACATCTTGTGCCACCTTCAAGGCAATTTTTCAACAGTTTTATTTTTCATTATTTTGGTTCAGTTCAATGCCTTTCGAACGTTCATTAATTTAACTAGTTTTTAGTTCCACTAATTAACTGCACTTAAACTAAATATTCGTGCCCTCTGTTAGGAAATAATAATACTAAAACAGCATGGGGCTACTTATCTGTAATTTTACGTTGAGGCTTACGTGTTTTTAAGTTGGTCTACATACGTTCCTCGCCTACCAGTGTTCGCGCCGTAAAGTCGATAAATTTGCCCGCTAGTTGGAACTGGTTTACGTTTACGTAATTCACCAGAAAATACTGGTTTACCAAAGTTCTCCGGTTTTCATTAATATGTTACAGAGCAGTAAACTTCTTTCATTCGTGTTTAGTAAATACACTGGCTCTCTTGACTGAGTTTGTTTCTGGATTTGTCTGTCTCTCTAAGTAAACCCCGGGATACTACCTTAAATTAGGCCACGATCGTTTCCTTCCACATCCTTTCCAATTCATTATTTAGTATTCTCTCATTCGACGCTGTATAATCTAAGATAATGAAAACGTCGTGAATAAAGAAATAAATAAATAATTTGTACACGACGTTTCGAGAGTTTGCTGTACAGCTGTCGTCTTGTAACTCCCGAAATGCTGATTAATATTAAATATAACCGGAGCAGTTAACAATGCCGTCATAAGCAAGACTTTACTGATAAAAAAACTGTCATAAAATTTTAATGAATCGTTATTTTATAATTTTTGTTCATTCTTATTAATAATAATTGTGCTTAAAAAATATATTATCAAATCTTACGAAGCTCGTATAGGCCTAAACCAAAAAAAGGCGTCCCGAAAACCACTTAAAACAGTTTAATCCTTATAGCAAGAACAGTCCAATAACTTAATCTATTGTACCTACGGTAATTAACAATTATTCTTATTCTTTTAGCATTAGCCCTACATTCGTCGTAATAAGTTTGGTTTTTCCTTATTCTACAATTCGTTACTTTATACAAATCTGTTTAATATATTTTTATCTCTTCTGTGTTGTTTAGTTACATTATAATGTGTTCAGTGTAACGCTCGGCACTGAAATCTCTTTAATAAATACTCCACTGCATAAATAAATAAATAAATAACCAGTGTCTAATATTTTATAAGGACCTTAAAACCATAAAATATGTTGGGGAAGGAATGGGGCACAGTTATATAGATAGAAGACATTAGGGAGGCCAAAGGAATGCTAAATATCGTTGTAATACTGCAAATATTAGTCTATATTGTTTCTTCATTCACATTAGCTTCGCCTTTGAACTCGGATTTAACAGACCAGCATATTACAAAGCGATTTAATCTAAAATAGGAAGTATAAAGTCACGTGTACAAAGATCTGTCCATTCATCTGCTGAAAATTAAATGTAACGCTAGACGCTACAAAAACATGAAGGTCGCTGGCAATCAGTACTTTACCTCACTCATGACGGAGGCAGTATGACCTCTGGAACGTTGGTTAACATCGACTAGACTACACAGCGCAACATCCCAGAAGACAGAAATCTTCATACTCATCGCCCTGATGACGGAGGCAGTATGACCTCTGGAACGTTGGTTAACATCGACTAGACTACACAGCGCAACATCCCAGAAGACAGAAATCTTCATACTCATCGCCCTGATGACGGAGGCAGTATGACCTCTGGAACGTTGGTTAACATCGACTAGACTACACAGCGCAACATCCCAGAAGACAGAAATCTTCATACTCATCGCCCTGATGACGGAGGCAGTATGACCTCTGGAACGTTGGTTAACATCGACTAGACTACACAGCGCAACATCCCAGAAGACAGAAATCTTCATACTCATCGCCCTGATGACGGAGGCAGTATGACCTCTGGAACGTTGGTTAACATCGACTAGACTACACAGCGCAACATCCCAGAAGACAGAAATCTTCATACTCATCGCCCTGATGACGGAGGCAGTATGACCTCTGGAACGTTGGTTAACATCGACTAGACTACACAGCGCAACATCCCAGAAGACAGAAATCTTCATACTCATCGCCCTGATGACGGAGGCAGTATGACCTCTGGAACGTTGGTTAACATCGACTAGACTACACAGCGCAACATCCCAGAAGACAGAAATCTTCATACTCATCGCCCTGATGACGGAGGCAGTATGACCTCTGGAACGTTGGTTAACATCGACTAGACTACACAGCGCAACATCCCAGAAGACAGAAATCTTCATACTCATCGCCCTGATGACGGAGGCAGTATGACCTCTGGAACGTTGGTTAACATCGACTAGACTACACAGCGCAACATCCCAGAAGACAGAAATCTTCATACTCATCGCCCTGATGACGGAGGCAGTATGACCTCTGGAACGTTGGTTAACATCGACTAGACTACACAGCGCAACATCCCAGAAGACAGAAATCTTCATACTCATCGCCCTGATGACGGAGGCAGTATGACCTCTGGAACGTTGGTTAACATCGACTAGACTACACAGCGCAACATCCCAGAAGACAGAAATCTTCATACTCATCGCCCTGATGACGGAGGCAGTATGACCTCTGGAACGTTGGTTAACATCGACTAGACTACACAGCGCAACATCCCAGAAGACAGAAATCTTCATACTCATCGCCCTGATGACGGAGGCAGTATGACCTCTGGAACGTTGGTTAACATCGACTAGACTACACAGCGCAACATCCCAGAAGACAGAAATCTTCATACTCATCGCCCTGATGACGGAGGCAGTATGACCTCTGGAACGTTGGTTAACATCGACTAGACTACACAGCGCAACATCCCAGAAGACAGAAATCTTCATACTCATCGCCCTGATGACGGAGGCAGTATGACCTCTGGAACGTTGGTTAACATCGACTAGACTACACAGCGCAACATCCCAGAAGACAGAAATCTTCATACTCATCGCCCTGATGACGGAGGCAGTATGACCTCTGGAACGTTGGTTAACATCGACTAGACTACACAGCGCAACATCCCAGAAGACAGAAATCTTCATACTCATCGCCCTGATGACGGAGGCAGTATGACCTCTGGAACGTTGGTTAACATCGACTAGACTACACAGCGCAACATCCCAGAAGACAGAAATCTTCATACTCATCGCCCTGATGACGGAGGCAGTATGACCTCTGGAACGTTGGTTAACATCGACCAGACTACACGGCGCAACAACCCAGAAGACAGACCGTACTCTTCGGCTCAGATCACTCAAAAAATGATACGTGCTATGAAACATACATGCACGCTGGCAGTTGCTAACCTGTCTACGAAAACGTTTATTTAAATGGCTTACTTACTAGCCGGCATAAATTTGATTTTCGTGCGATGCAGATCGCATATAAAGTGCTGTTATATTCTTGATTTGAGGTGCGTGCCTATTAGCTGTAAATTGCCCATGGCTTTCTGACCGATTAGTAATGATATGCAAATAAGTAAGACCTCGCGGTGTACAAATGTTAGTTTAAATAAAGATAAATTGTATGAATATTAGTCAAAGTTAACACGCACGCTAAAGGTCGCAGTAGCTCAGCGAGTTGGGTGATTGAGAGTGGAAATCAACTTGTTTAACTTACATCTACTCATCAGTGTTCTGTCTGACGACAGGTCCATATGAACAGGATCCTTCCATCCTTTTCTCGGACTGGGACCTGTTCATATACGTTCTTGGCAGATGATCCAGAAGTGGTTTGCCATTGCCTTCTTCTGTGTGTGAATGGAGTAATTGTTGGGATGCCACGGAGGAAAACTCCGTGTTGCCTAGACCACGGCCTTGCCCAACACAAGTTATAAATTCGGGCACCGCCGGGAATCGAACCCGAGACCCCCCAGGATTACAAGGCCAGCGTTCATCAGACGGTAAAGGTGGACATAACGTTTAGCTTCCGAAGTCCAATCGATTTTATCAACATGCAAGTTAAATTGTTGTCAATAAGGACATAGAGGGTAGTAATGAGTTGATTAACAGGTCGGTATAATAACTACGCCATGGTTTGGACGATCTGGGTTCGATTACTGACGGGATGGGATGTTTCTCTACGCCGCAACGTCCAGACTGGCCCTGGGTACCTGGCGTTTTCCCTCGGGGGATAAAGCGGCCGAGACGTGAAGCTGACAATTTCCATCTAGTGTTGAAATTAAGAATGCTTAGAGCTGTAACTTCACTTCCCCATACGTCAAGATGGCGCGGTGTTCCATAAATTTAAAGCTCTTGTAATTAATACTTCAGACGGAATAGGTAATTTGCACCAAATGATAATACCTTTTCAAGTGTTATTTGTGTGCGTTCTGTGATAACATAGCACATCAACATCATTGCCAAAGGAGTGAAGTTAGGTGACGTTGGTGGCCATATGATTGGGCCATCACGGTCAGTACATGTGCCAAGGTGCCACTTCGATTAGTGTGCCAACTTTCGACGTGCAGAGTAAAGTCGCCAAATATTGGATAGCTTTTGTTTTGTGTTTTACGTGTTTCATCTACAGTCTTACGTCACCTAATTTACGAATGGCCGTCTCAGTAGTTTGAAGCGTTTGTCTATTGTCTCTGTTTCAGCTCCATGAGGCGTCGGGACGACAAGCGACGGTGATAGCGGGCGGGGCTGGCGAGGGGATGGTTGGGTGCTGGAAACGGGGAGATGATAGTGCTCACCCCGTTACTGCAGCACTCCGCCATGACAGCATTACTACCAACATGAATCCAAGATGGCCCCCGGGCGCTGTGTCCGCTGCCCGTATTCCACCTCTGTCCTCAACATCACCACTCGTCGGAGAATGGTGATATTTACTATCATGCTACCACAGATGGTGGTCGTCCTATGATCATCCTCGGTGTGCCACGCAGAGGAAATACCGTTCATCCTGGAGACTTTAACGCAAGCCGGTATCATTTTCATCATGGGGGTAGCCATCATCTTGACGAATGTCCTCATCATAGCTACCTTCTTCAACTATCGCGGTAAGTCGCTATTCATCGCAAGATGAAAGGTTCGCTCTAACCAATTACGTATGCCGAGGCGTTCGTGAGTGCGGGATTCGAATCTGTTTAACGTCGTGTAACTCCGTGCAGCTCCTGCGTACCGCGTTGGTCAGAGAGAACCTTAAATCACTGGCGAACTCAAACGGATAATTACCATAAGGCAGAAGGCGAATGATGACCAATGAAAGATAATAATTCCAGTTATATTCTCAAACAAATTTATAGCCATTAATTAGTAAAATGATTGGTATATTTTAATCATCTTATGGCTTCCCGTTTTCTATCTAAAAAAACTTCAAAATTTAAAATATGAATGATAAGGTTGTAGTTTTACGATGGGTTGGGTTGTCCTGGAGAATTTTTATCGGGTGGTCGTGGTGATGTCCTGGAGAAGTGCTGGAGAATCCTGGAGAATTTCAGGAAAATTTCTGGGGATATCCTGGAAAAGTCCTAGGGTAGTGACGGAGAAGTCATGGATACGTAATGCGGAAATTTTTGTGTCAAGGAGAATTGCTGGAGAAGTCCTGGAAGTTTGTTTGGAAGTCCTTAAGCGGTGGTGGGTTTTATCTTATGAGGGTCGGTGGGTGTGATACTTGGTCTCTTAACTCGAAGGTGAAAAAGTCGAATGAGGGCAGATACATATATATAAAAAAATTGTTCACCGACGATGTGAGACATGTCAACATTACATCTGAAATCCAATAGGTCAGGGCCTCTAAGGGGTTGAAAGCAAACTCTGTCGAATTGACAGGCAATAATAGAGAAGATTTGTTAGAATTATCACGCGTTTCGAACATTTCCTAACTTGTTCTTTTCTAAAATCTGCTTGAGAAACGACTCGCTGGTCCTACCTCCAATTTTTACACCAGAATAAACAACGTTGATTTTTCAGCCTTAAATTTAAAATGCGTCCTCCCTCATTCTAACAAATTATGTTTCAGATCCCTCTGTATGACGCGAAGACTGAGGTTTGATGTTCAGTATTTCGGATAAGTCCGAAACCTTCGAAAGACTCTGAGGACCTTAGATTATTTTAGTTATTTTATGTGAAAACATATTTAGCCGGCTTAGTTAACCTAAAGGATATCAGACGTTCCTCACACTACAACCTTATGTTAGTCTTAGTACCACCCTAAACACAAATCACGTGATGAGCCGATAGTCAGTCCAATTGTCTGAGCATTAATGCGAGTTTTACGGTAAATTGTAAACTGGTAATTGGCATTAGACAGGCCTGCGTTTATTCCGGACGACAGTTTGCCATGATGCATAGAATTTTTATGATATCGCCTAGAATTTTCTATAACACGTATTTTTGCTATAGTTACGTAACATTTTCATGTATGCTATTTAGTTCCAGTTTCATCGCGTAGGTTACAGGTTCAGCGTTGGAGGACATGTGTATTTGAAGGTTACTTAAATTTCTGATACGATCAAAAACACATATACATATATTTCCCAGCTTCTGGTTTTTGGAAGTGGCTCCTACATGTTTAGAAAAAATTGCAGATTGCTGTAAATCTGGTCACTGAGATAAGAAAAAATATGTAAATGGTTAGTTAACAGTCTTGACGCGGTCTTGCATTAAATCACTGCGTGCTATAGCATACAGCGGCTCTCTGTAGTACGTAATCCTACTTGCCAGCAACCCGTAATGTCAAACAGCACGTCGGGTTGCAGAACATCAGGGAAATTAGAGACGAACAGAGGCAGGTCTGGCCATGAGTGTACGGAAATGGACGGCGCTTGAGTGCAAATATTTGACCTCGAAGGGAAACAAACTTGCTCGAATGTGAATGTCACAGATGTTTGTACTTCAAAGGAAAATAGGCCTATGTCCAAATCGTATTTACACAATTGTAATTCTAGAACCGTCGCTGTAAAATACTTCGTGTAAATACACGGAAGTGTGTTGCAGTCAGTACGAAATATTTGCAGTACGAAATTTCGGTCATACGAATTTCTACAATGAAGTGCAGGACCTCCGCGTGGCGAAGTGCATTGGGCTTAGCTTTTGTGTGCATATTCTGACAGATTTTGCTGGTTTAAACAGTTTCTTTTCACAGCATACATGTTTCCCTTACTTGGATGTTTAGTTTAAGGCATAAAATTGTTGATTTCTAATTTCTTAGTAATTCTTCGATCATTCCGCAACGTAATTATAACTTTACGACACTGCGTTTGTTGGAAATAGTGACACGCTTTACGAACTGCCTTTAGGAACGTAATTATTTGTAAAAGCGGGAATTTTCTGAATATATTCTGCAAGGAAAGTTGTAAATCAGTAATTGTATTTCACGTCAAATACAAAGTTCTGATTTTCTATACGATGCCAAAAAGGGATTTTTTTTTTTTTGCACAAGGTGAGAGAAAGAATTCTATAAAAATTTTAATAACTACGTTATATTTACAGATCAAATACAAATATTATAGAAAAAACAACGGACGTCCTCACTAAACGCGAAGAATACGATCCAGGATTTAAAACCGCCCAAGTGTCATCTTCTCCCACAACACTCGTTATTTCCAAGCAGGGAAGAAACGTTAATTGCCTTTATCGTATATTGATTGCCTGAGGGGAAGAGACCGCTGGGGAGACCTAGACGTAGATGGGAGGATAATCTCAGGCGGGATCTATGGGAGATAGGAGTAGAAGGAGACTGGATTTTGTTGGCCCAGGACAGGGTCCGGTGGAGGGCTTTGGTTAATTCGGTGATGAACCTTCGGGTTCCGTAAGCCATCTAGTTAGTTATTTTATGTGTATCTTGTTTTAATGCGAGCCAAGTTGGAAACATTTGATACTTTACACGTATGAATGTCTCTGAATCTAGCTGCAACATGTCAGGCAATCTTAATTTGTAGAAAGCTGTATTAAACATTCATTTAATTTGATAGACTTTGTTTCAACCGGATGGAAAGTAAAAATGCGTTATCGACAAGAATTATGTTTTTTCTGAGTTATCACACCATGCACTCTTGTAGGTGGTTACCATTTGAAGGAGCATGTCGCCTCAATCTTCAAGTTAGATATATATGGTATATTCAGATCAACGTCTAGTGTTTTTTGAATATCAAGCGAATTGATCTTTTCGTTCCCGCGAATTTGTTGGATCTGAGAAACGGCGTTGGTAAGTCATTTAGTTACTAATCCACACACCACCAGCGCTGTGATAGCCACTAGATTTGATACTGATCCTCCTAAAAATGCGACGAAACGACACTGAAAATTGAGGAGGAAGTAATATCACGAAAACTGTAATACCTCCGCCTTAACAGCTGTTAAATATGTCCTATATAATCTTCAGAATTTATCACCGCCAATTTTGCTCGTGGACATTAAGGAATGTGCCGACGTTGGATATTAATTCAGCGCAGTTCAAGAATTTTTTTGTTTTATCAGCCAACGTTTGAAAAAGAAATATCTCTGCAGTACCTCGTTCCACCAGCCACCGAATATTTTCCTCCTGAAGATAATAAATGCATATAATAAAACTTTAAGATTAGAAATATATATACATTCCATTTATGGTGTATCAAACATTCGTTGTTACTTTGAAAACTATGTATGAAGTTCAGTACTTTTTAGGAGGGGTAGTGGATTATGCCTACGTACATAATCTTCGTCTGTTTCATATAAAATGCATTTAGATGTACGCGCACTAGATAAATTGTCTGGATTTATCTGCAACAAAGTTTAAAAGAAACGTGAAACACTCAACGAAGTGATCGAATGGTAAATTACCCGAATAACGAGACCGGTAGAGATCGGTGGTTTGATTGGATCTTCGGAACCGAGTCCCGGATCCAGTCTAGGCTATGAGCATCTGGTACTTTTATGAACTGGTAGTGTCTTCTTTTTTTGTTGTAGGAAATAGAAATTATGTGGGCCACAATTACAACTCCTGGATGTTCTTCGATATACCGGAGTATTATCTTCATAGTCACATGTCTGTCTTTATTGGTAAAACTTATTATCACTTACGTTTTAGCATCTTGTGGCCACCAATAGAGGATCACTTCTTTACAAATTGATCTCCGAAGTATTCGCACTCTTATAGGCATACAAATCATATTTTATTTTTTTTATTTGTAGTGTTCTGTGTGACGACAGGTCCATATGAACAGGATCCTTCCATCCTTTTCTCGGACTGGGACCTGTTCATATACGTTCTTGGCAGGTGATCCAGAAGTGGTTTGCCATTGCCTTCTTCTGTGTGTGAATGGAGTAATTGTTGGGATGCCACGGAGGAAAACTCCGTGTTGCCTAGACCACGGCCTTGCCCAACACAAGTTATAAATTCGGGCACCGCCGGCAATCGAACCCGAGACCCCAGGATTACAAGGCCAGCGTTCTAACCGCTAGACCACCGTGGCACGGACAAATCATATACTGCCTTCATACTCCGTAGTGACACTTCCTAGAGGATAACAATTATGCTCAGTAATTTCTTATAACAAGGGCAATACGCTTCTCAACTCCTGTGGCGAAATTTGAACTCCATCGCCGTCAAGGAAACTTCATGTATAAAAACGTTTTTATACAAAAGTCTGCACAAATCAGTTGGCGTAAACTTAATATAAAAAAGAACGGACTTCGTATGGCATTGAGGCTGAAATTTATGGCGTCGCATTCCAACTCCCACAAAGAGTATCGAACTCCGTGTGTTTTATGTTCGGCTACATTCCTATAACTCTGGCAGGGAAACTGCCTCATGAATAACACCTCCGCATGAAGGCGGAAACTTCTCGGTGGAGAATGCTTTAGGGGATGCATAATTGGTTTGAACACTCGCCAGGAGCAATGCGTAGTTTGGAAGTATGTAACAACGTAGAATTTAAAAGGGGATGAGTTCGGATAAGATACGACGCCATTATTTTTGCTAACATTCATGATAACAAAGATCAAAAGAAGACTATGTTTGGATTGGTTTGAAATGCATTCAACTCTGTTACAATGTATTTTTTCCCCACGTTATAAAGGAGGACAATTAATTTTGCTCTACATTTATTGTGTAGG